AAGAGACAAATCAGGTCTGACTGAAATTCCTGACCTGGCAAGGTTGTGTACATTAGCCAGTAGATGATTCCGTTCATCAGGAGAAGCTAAGACTACTTTAAGCAACCTACGCTGATTAGAACATTCATCATCTCTTTTGCCTATTCTAATCAGCTTTTTAATCGATACTCCAGGGAAATTCGCTGGGAGCATCTTCCTTATAATACTACTCACTAATTTTAGGTCATGATCGCTCGTTTTTTCTTGTGAATAAATAGAGCTTGAGGTAATTGCTGCGTATAACTTTCGTGTGTACGGCATCGATTCTTATTCTTGATTTATATCCAAATTTGGTAATAATTCAAAATAAGTGATGCACTTGTATTCTTTTGTCAGCATTTTCATCGTAACATCATAAATGAATTGCACTCAATGTGGACTAATAATAATGACAGTTTATATTTTCCTATAAACGGGTGTTTTCAAGGAATTCAAGCTATATTTGCAGACACAATCAGTTATGTTGTAAGTTACAGTCGTGAAGTATTATAAATCAACACTTTTTTATTGGTATAAAAGTATATTTCACAACTGTAATCCAGGTTGCGTCGTTGGTGAGCGTAATGCGTAATCCACGATTGAACTGTAAGATATGGGACCAATAATGTTTGCAGATCATATGTCATTGTAAATGGTCAAATATCCACATTCTTCATTCTCATTCAAAAAGTCAAATTGAAGATGTTCGCTGGAGATTATACATACACTTGATAAATGTTAATATCAGTAGTATAAAACAGCCTTTTCACTTATATACAACCATTTCTGTGCAAAGTTGGAAAAATCTGGTAGATTGTCAGTGAGTGCAACACAACAGGAAATACAGAAGTATTGTCTTCGCATTAACAAAAAGAACCGGGTCTTTGGTGGATGGATTATAAGTGCCTGGGAAGAAAATAAAGCTTGAAGTCAATTTTCATACATAACTTTGCTGTGTGCAGAATCCTTGAATTATAGTTCATTGATGTGTTATTTTGAAATCAGTGATATGTTTATCTCATTTGATCTGCAATGTCATTGTTGAGAGTAAATACATAAGCTTCAGCCGCATTAATTAATGGATTTCTACTGCTCGTGGGTATTTTCTTAGCGTGAGGAAGGTTTATGACAGCTACTGTGTTTACTCCATTGTATGAGGTGATCTAAAATAAAATCATCACACTGACAATGTCTTTAATTTCAACAACTAACAAAAAGTGTACAATCATATTGTTGAGTAGTCCACAGACGCCTAACCTCAATATTGCTCACCTTGTTATACCACTTCACACGGGAGATAGAAGACAGGCAACTATGATCGAAGACAGCTAATCTTTCCATGTCTTCCACTCTCAATGACCGGGTCTCACAGCCATAAAGGAGGACGGAGCGGACTGCTGAGCAGTACATCCGCTGTTTAGTCGATAGCCGGATGTCACGTCTACGCCAGAGACGGCGTAAACTGGCATATGCGAAATTAGCCCTCTGTATCCGTACTGAGGTTTCGTCAGAGATCAACCTGTTGGCGCTGGCTGATGGTACTTCCCAAATAAGTGAAGCGGTCAACGTGCTCTACCACTTCACTCCCTATTTCTAAACTATGTGCCGGTGTAGTTCAGTCCTGTAGCATCGTCTTACATTTGGCGGGAGCGAATCGCACACCAAGGATTCGTAGATTGCAGCTCAAGGTGTTCGAAAGACTCTGCATTTTGTCAGCGTCCTCGCCTAGAAGGACTATATATACATTTATTTTTATTTATTCCTGTTTATGCAGGAACATACCAATTGTACAGGCATGGATAAGTTATTATATAAATTACAGTTTGTTTGTTCAATCTAACATTAGAGTCAGTCAGAACAGTCTGCAAAATAGTCTGTCTGTGTAACACATAAAGAGATATAGAAATATTGTCTTCTCATTAACAAAAAACCCAAACATAAGATGAATGTGATACAAATATCTGGGACAAATAAAGCTTGAAGTCAATTCTCCTATAAAACTTTGTTGTGAACAGCATCCGTGAGATAAAGTTTATTGGTGTATTATTTTGATTCAATAATGTACTTATTCCATTTTTGTCAGCAGTCTTATCGTAGTTTTATAATAGGAAAGAAATTTGATCTTTGATACGAAAGTTAGATAAGGTAATGTTAGATTGTTTTACTGCATCAAATGGGGTCAAATCTAGAACTATCCATTTGCGCCATTTGCGTCAGCATGGCATGTAAGGCCTGGTAAGTAAGCGGTTTTCTAGTGTTTAAACTGTATGTTTATCTAATTTCAGGTTGGCCACGTAGCGTACAGGGATTGGTCGCCCAAGACGACGCAACGGATGACCAATAGGAGGACTCTTCCCCTCTCCCCTAATTGTATTATGATTGGTTGTAAATAAACTCCTTGACCTTGAGTCTTCGTTCTTACTAGCACGTGGCACTTGTGTGATCACCCTGCTAACGTGCGCTTTGCTCTCTGTTTCAGATCATTGCTTGACGATTGGCCCTACATAAATGGCGAGCCTGCCAACGAAAAAACTCTCTTCTTCTAAGTCTCGACTCACTGAGGCTTCCAAGACCACTTCTCCTGTCCAGGAGACAGCATCGAACGAGCTTGTTGATCAACTAGTTAAAGAAGTCAAGGTGACATGTCATGCATGATCTGGATTTTAGGAATCCATGTTGGTTTGGACTTAGTATATTGCAGCTGAGCATATGTTTGAGGATATCATCTTTAACTATTCTTTCAATGATTCTAGATACTATGGGTGTAATATTGATTGGCCTATAGTTGTTGACTTCAGTTTTTGATCCGGATTTGTGTTTAGGTACTTAAATGTCGTTTTCCATTTATCTGGATAGGTTTGGCTTTCTAGGGACATTGTAAAAATCTTAAGTAATAAAACGGAAATGTCAGAACCACCGTGTTTATAAAGATACGATGGTATACCGTCAAAACCGGCACTAGTAGAGCTTTTAAGAGTATTAACGGCTTGGTTAATATTAGAATAAGTGAAATGAACTGTAGTGATTTGTTTCAGCGTTGAAGATGAAGGGAGTTCTATTGTAGATTGTAAACCGAGAAGTGGACTTGTAGGCTTAAGGTAGTTAGCTGCAAACGTCTCATTAAACAGTTCACACATGTCTGCATGGTTGCTGTATAGTTTGCCCTTGTTTATAAGGAGAGAAATTTTATGGCTTTGGCGATTCATTCGTTTCTTTAGTATTTCTGTGAGAGCACCTACTCTGGTGGTGCTGGCTAGTGCCGTGCATTCTTCATTTCTCATACACAAGTTATGAGCTTGCGAGATGGAGCTAAGAGTACTAAGTATTGACCCTAGTGTACTAAAGTCGTGTCGCCTGAAGTAACTTGTTGACAGTCTTTTCAGTTTCCTACGATCCTTTGGCTTTATGAATGTCTTTCTATGTGGGGAAAACTTTAGTGTTTGAAATGGGATGACAGCATCTAAGCATGTGTTGTAGTCATAGTAAAAGATGTCTAGAGCTTTCGAGAGGCTATCAGTATAGAAGTACTCACTCCATTCTGAGGATCTTAGCATTGATTTTACTAGAGTCCAGTCTGCCTTACTGTAGTTCCTGTAAGTTATTTGTTGTGAAGTAGGGGTATGGGCTGCATTTCTACTTGACGGAAGTGGCAGTGCACACAGCACTGTTTTGTGGTCACTCCCTGGAAACTCAGAACCTATTAGGGTAGAAAGGGGACTTATATTGTGGCAGAAGATTAAGTCTAGTACGTTGTGACAGCCTGTTTCCAGCCAAGTATATCCAGTCTGCCTAAGAACTTATCAAATTTAGTTGGGCATATTCTGACTTGATGAGATAATTCCCTGGTGGTAACAAGTCAATCCCTGAGTCATTGAAGTGGGTTAGGGTTAAGTCCATTAGTACATCTGTGATGAAATTAAATAGAAATGGGGACGGGCTTAAAGCAATGCAATACTTCAACTACAGTTTGCAAAACAATCTCAGAGCTTATCATCAAAAAGGAGGGAGGGTGGCGCATGCTGATCAGCAGATATGGTAGTGGTCACAAATGTGAATCGCTCCGATCTGTAGGACAGCGACGTGCATCTTTTTACAGCTCGAAAATTAAACATTAGTCTGGACCCTCAACAGAAAGTAATAATAAGGGTTGAATATATCAAAATTATAAATAAAAAAGTGCTTTTGCTCCTACCATCTGCATGCCTACAAACGTCTCAGAAAGAGAGAAGAAGAAGGATTTCTACAGACAACTGTGTGTACCCCATTACGTCCAGCTGCATACCAACATTGTAGTGCTGCAACATCCCACTGGATGTGCAGAATGTGTTGCTCCCCAAAGATGACTTTAATAAGGGAGACTCATGAAATACTGTCTAAAGCCATGGAACTTCCTGATGATTGTGTGGCTAGTAAGAGTGACACGGACTGCCCGTCTGAAGGTGACGCAGTAAGTGCCATCATGAATGTTATCACACCGGCGGTTACTATCCCAGTTACCCCGGAAGTAAAACCTACTAGGCGTTCGAAGCGTCTTAGTAAGCGAAAAGGGAACAAAACGGAAGCTGTAAACAGCATCTCAGCACCAGAGAACACTGTAAGCGAAGTTCACCATGAAGGTGGTGCAGACACTGATCTTGATTGTACCATCAAAAACTGCAGCAGCCCTGAGAAGCAACTGCAGGCAGATGATAAGTGGGTAACGAAAATAAGCAATCGGAAGAAATGTAGTAATACTGATGGTAGGCAAACGTCTGTCACCTGTAGCCAGGCTGCATCAATAGTGGTGAGAAAAGACGTGGCCATTGATAAACACGACAAGCTCTCCTTAGATTCTAACATAATTTTTGGAAATTTAGAAGAATCCAAAGAATCTGATCCCGTGAAACGGCACGACCACGACCTTAAATTAGTGAGTAGTATTATAAGGAAGATGCTCCCAGCGAATTTCCCTGGAGTATCGATTAAAAAGCTGATTAGAATAGGCAAAAGAGATGATGAATGTTCTAATCAGCGTAGGTTGCTTAAAGTAGTCTTAGCTTCTCCTGATGAACGGAATCATCTACTGGCTAATGTACACAACCTCGCCAGGTCAGGAATTTCAGTCAGACCTGATTTGTCTCTTGAAGACAGACTTAAACGAAAAGAAGTTTTGTCCCAGCTAGAAACAAGACGTAAAAATGGTGAGACTAACTTTAACCGGTAGGTTTTCAAATAGTCAGGCTATGGAAATGTATGCTTCCAAGACCTGTGTGGATAAGTCAGACCGCATAGGAAGCCTGAAGGTAGTGTACACTAATATACGTAGTATCGGGAACAAATTTCACGAGCTAGGTGTATTGGTGGAAGACATTAGCCCAGGTATTGTGTCCATTACTGAAACATGGCTGGTTTCTGGATTAGATGAGACACCTGATCTATGCGGATTTAGTTGCTTGCGCAGCGACAGGGTTAAGGGTCGTAGAGGTGGCAGGGTTGCTCTGTACATCAACACTCCCTACATGTTCGCTCCGTGAAATCTGAAGCGCATGACAGTGGGACAAGTGAGGTAATTAGCTGTGAAGTAAGCTTTGCAACTGGCACTCCACTCATTGGAGTTCTGTAAAGAAGTCTCTATTGTCAGTGTGATGACTTTATTTTCGATCACCTCAAACAATGGAGTAAACACAGTAGCTGTCTTTTTCTAGGTGATTTTAATGCACCTCTTATAGACTGGGTAGCTGTCACATCTCCAGGATCCGCTAATAAGTTTGACAGCCGGTTATTCTTGACTACCATGGAAAATGCCCTGACACAACATGTCTTAGGTAGTACAAGATTCGATTCTACCGAAGGACCTTCCTTGCTGGACTTAGTGCTTACTCATGACAACGACGACGTGGATGGTCTAGTTATTCATTCAACTCTAGCAAACAGTGATCATGGGGTGTTATATTTTAACTCAAGGGCTGGCAATTTAGTCAGTTTTCAACCCAAATCCCGACCTAGTGTTTGGCATGCTGACGTAGTCGCTATAAAGGAGCGTGCTTCAACTGCCGACTGGCCAGTCAATATGGTCTCACCCATTGAAGATGAATGGAATAGATTTAAGAATACACTTGAGAGGGTTACCACTGATTTCATTCCCTGGAGGGTTCCTAAAAGGCCAACAAATCGGCCACCACGGATAAATAGGCAAGCTATAACACTCCTAAGACGGAGAAAAAGGTTCTGGAATCTCTTTGTTTCTACTGGGCTTCAGCAGTTCCGGCTGAAATACTGTGAAACCAGAAACCAGTGTAAAACTTTGATTCGCCAGTCAAGGGTAGCTTACGGAATCCAGTTAGTTAAAAGTTCATCAGGCTGCCCAAAAAGACTCTTCTCATATATCAAGAGAAGAACACGTAAGCGTGATGCTATCCCACCTCTTATGCTTGAAGATGACCAGACAAACATGGCTGAGGATAACTTGACTAAGGCTGAGGCTTTGTCCAAGCACTTTAGTCAAGTATTCTCTGATAATATTAATACCGGCTTTGTAACTTTTCCAGAAGGTAACGTAAAAATGGCACCCTTATACATTGGAAAGGATACTGTCCTAAAGTGGCTTCTAAGGCTCAATCCTGGTAAGTCCAGTGGCCCTGATGAACTCCACCCACGCATATTAACAGCATTGGCTGAAAACATATCCGAGCCATTGTCGGTAATCTTCAATATGTCTCTGGACCAGTCTAAATGTCCAAGAGACTGAAAAGATGCCATCATTAGTCCGGTCTTCAAAACCGGATCTAGAAACTTAGTTCAGAACTATCGTCCTGTTAGTTTGACCAGTATTGTTGTTAAACTGCTAGAAAGAATAATTCGTGATGCTGTCATTCAGCTCATTGAAGGGAACAAACTTTTCGCTGTGGAACAGCATGGTTCTAGAGCAGGTCATTCTTGCTTGACCAACCTTCTTTTGGCCAGAGAAAGTCGGGCAAGCTCAGCTGCTGCTAATATACCGGTGGATGCCATATTCATCGACCTTAGCAAGGCGTTTGACAGGGTTTCTCATTCAGGTCTTCTAGTAATGTTAGGCAGTCTGGGAATCAATAAAGTGGTTGCCGACTGGATTCAAGACTTTCTAAAGGACAGAAGACAAAGAGTACGAGTTAACGGGGTTTTATCAACGTGGCAATCGCTTAAGAGTGTCGTTCCTCAGGGTACAATTCTAGGCCCACTTCTTTTCCTGATTTATGTTAATGAGATTCCATCGGTAGTTAAGTCATCCTGCTTACTGTTTGCTGATGACATCAAGATATGGAGGGCTTTACACGATGACAGTGATCAACTTGCTTTGCAGGAAGATTTAAACTTGTTGAGTGATTGGTGTAAGCACTGGGCCTTGGAGATCAACTTAAGCAAGAGTGTAGTTATGCATGTATCTCGTAGTCACGTGCACAATTACTCAATGAATGGCATTACTCTCCCAGTGGTCACTGAGTACATGGACTTGGGAGTGGTTGTGCAGCATGACTTGAAAACAGCAACAAACTGTAGAGCTGCAGCCACTAAGGGTTTTCGAATATTATGGGCCATACGCAAGGCTTTTGCGAACTTTGACGCTGATATATTTCGTATATTATATCCGACTTATTTCAGACCTCATTTGCAATATTGTATCCAGGCAGCGAGCCAGTGTTTCAAATACGAAATAGACTTATTAGAAAGGGTGCAAAGAGTAGGAACTAAGCTAATAAAGGGTTTCTCAACCCTCTCATATGAGGAGAGGTCAAGTCGACTGGGTTTATTTCCACTGTCATACAGACGACTTAGGGGTGACCTAATGCTGGCATACCGTCTCCTAAGAAATGATTTTGGAGCTAATTGATCTAATTTATTTCTTACTTCTAGCACCAACCAATTGTGAGGACATCACCTCAAGGTTCAAAAACCACGGTCGAATCGTCTGCGTCTGGAGATCCGTTTTTCGCATCGAATTGTGAACCATTGGAACTCCCTACCGGAACACGTCGTATCAGCTCCATCGTTGATTCATTCAAGGCTAGATTGGACCCCCTGTGTGCAACAAATCGAAAGGATTAACACAGGCATATAGCGCACTATCGTAAATAAATTATAAACTTTAAACTATTTTATTTTTAGAAGAGTCAGCAGCTGGGGTTAAATGGAGTTAAATGAGTGGAAATTTATTGTGGATGTGCCTTGCACAGTTTTTCAGGCGATGAAAGTGATAGGTTTGCAGAATGGTGTAGTCCATTGCAATCTGGTGCAATTTTCGGCGTAAGTATTTTATGTGTGTATTCCGATCGAGGTTTTTACGAAACGATTATGGATATTTTTGTTGAGGCTTGCTTAATAAATGATTGAATCAACTAAACATGCCCACTTCATGTGTACTTTATTATCATATTAATGATGTCTGTCAACTGGAGTCCCTCATGTGCATAAAGTGAGAATATATTATTATTATTATATACATTTCACTGTTATATGAGGGAATTGACCTGAAGCTTTGTTTATTTTCCTAAGTATTTGTAATCCATTCAACGCATACTTTGGTTTTTTGTTAATGCGAAGTAAATATCTCTATATTTGATAGTGTCGAAAATTCCCATATTATGAATTAAAAGTCAATCTGAACGAAGAATATTCTTTTCAATAATTTCTCTTCAGGTTCTTACAATTATAAAATATAATATTTGTTGTCGTTACAATAAGGCCAGTTATGCGGCAGATACATTTTTAACGTAGAATAACAGATTAGTTATGGGGTGTCAAAATAAATATTCGTATTTGTGTGACAAACGTGCTAGGCTCAATTCGATTAAAAAATAATGTAAAACGGGAGACAATGGTGATTAATCATAATAGATTTGTAGATTGGGGGTAGGAAAATTGACAAGTCAGTTCAAGGTTATAAAAGGGTGTCAGGTGAGTGGCTAGTACAAAGTGGTCTGTGTTAAACAGGAGATAGTAAGACTGCATTGGGAGGTTCATAATGAAATAACGAATATGTGAAATGAAACAGGTGGGGGCATATATTGAGAAAAGAGATTATATCACTAATAATAATTGTAAGAACCTGAAGAGAAATTATTGAAAAGAATATTCTTCGTTCAGATTGACTTTTAATCTCTATATTTCTTGATGTGGTTCATTGAATCACTAGTTATCAGATTTTTCCCACAAACTAAAGACAAACGACAGCAACTATGTAGTTTGAATAACAGTTATCCAGGCCTACACAGTTGGTGTGTCCTACATAGGTAGGAATAAATAAGAACCCTATTATATTATCAATACTGACTATGCTTACTAATCGTATGTGTAATTTATCGGATTGATGATGCCTGTAAACTGGCGTCCCTCATGTACCAAAATGAAAATATATTATTATTAACTAAAAATCAGCGTAGAACAGCATTAGTGCAACGATTATTATATTAGATAAATATGACAATCCTTGCTGATCCTGGTAATGTGTCAAGTGAACAGATCTATTTAAGCACGTGGGTCGAAGTGGAAAGAAGCAATATCACGAATTTACAGCGTGTGGCAAAACGTGTCAAGACTGTTTTCGGAGGAATATTTATCTAGTAGATAGGTGAATAGCCTTATTAGGATGCTGGTTTTGACTTTACTTGGCAAGTTCTATATCTGACTCTACTTATCTGTGAATAATTTGGAAGGAAACTTTGTTCGACAGAGAATATGACTCAGAGAAGATCCGTTGCTGCGTAATTAATGTGCTGAAAAAGTAAAGTAAAGGTTGTTATTTAGAAGGTTGCTATTCCTTTGAGAATTTCAGATTGGAGAATAAGGTTAATTCGTTGACGCCTGAAGCAAAGTTGTTCGATCTTATGTATTGTGCATTGGTATTTGTATGCGACTTTAGGACTTCTTCACGGGGTTGTAATTGTAAATTTCATTCGAACACTTTCAATCTTTAGTCTGTCCTTAACAGGGGTACTATCTAAGATAAATGGACAGTATCACAATAGGAGCATGTGCGTTTTATACAACAGCATCTTGGATTCTCGGTTTTGACAGTTATGAGATATAAATCCAAGTAATCTTCTGGCGTTAGAAACTTGGTTGGTGACATAGTGAGAGAATTTAAAATCAGCCGATCAATAGAGCCCGATGTCTGGTAACGAAGCAAAAAATAGTGATCGGCCTGTCGTATATGAGCATGCATCCTTAGAGCATCCTCAACTTTCAAGTCTTCCACGCAACTTTCTAAGAAAATTTCAGGTAACAAAAGTACCTGAGTTCTGAAACAGTGATAATTTTAATTCTTATAAGGCTGGCAGAGGGAGCGTTCATAAACGCCATTGGCCTTCTACAATATTGCAGAACGGCAATGGGTGACTGTGGTAGTTGTTTCGACAGGATAGCCGGTCAGTAATTTGCGATTCACATTTCGCCTTATATTTTGTTATAGTTGACATTTACGCGACATGTTAAACGTTTGCGTGACATTTTAGCGTGGGTAGTTATAATAATATTTTATTTCTGGAACAGAAACCAGCCATTTTTACAGGCATGAACATATGTACACTAATTAGAACTTATAGAATATATATATGATCTGTTAATCTAGAAATAGATTGAATACTGGTAAATTTGAGAGAAATATTTAAAAAGAAATGTACAAATAAGGCAATAGGTAATTTTCGAGATATGCTTTCAACTGAATAATTCATGATATATAGCATCAAATCAAAACTGCAATTGAAAAATAATACGGTATGTCAGTTTCACGCGGGAATCATAAACGAATACGTTAATTGTGGAAGGTAAGTAGCATTTCTGTACAGGTGCTGACGTGAAATATAAGGGATGCGGAATGAACAATAATTGTAAGTAAATGATTCATAGGGTGTTTGAAAGTCCATAAAACTTCCAATTCACCGGTAAGTACACCATAATTGTGACATTTCCAGTTGTATATGAGACCAACTTTGAACTTGTCAGCACATTTCATGATAGAGGTGGTTCCGTTATTCACCAGGTGGGGTAGCAATATTCCGAATTAGTTGAGGATAGCGGCACTGTTTCAGTGCCTTCGTTTAAGGCAGTACCTTTGAAAAGAGAAGAAGACACAAGAAAAATCATAGTGGGTCGAACTCGAAAGAAGGTGTCAGTTCGAAACCCAGTGGTCGCTGAACAGTTATAGTCCAGGCCTTTTGCTGTACATAACTTTGGCTTCTTATTCTAGTGAGACGGTTGTTTTGACCTGAGTCTGAGTTCTGCTCTTCACATTTCACTCCAGAGTGCTTGACATATATTTGTCTGTGCTGTTTGATTACGGTTGTGTATGACGTATTTTTGTGGTGAAACTCGCACAAGTATTTCTCTAATTCCATGCCTGTAACAAATAACCCTTTCACTAATTAGTAATGTTTAATCATATGAGAAAGCCGCGAAGTCAGTCACCTGTTAACCTATTAACATATCTGCTTGCTACAACAAGCAAGACACCTCCCGCAAAAATGCCAGTGAGTCGCACAGCACTCCGATACGCCACAAGTGTCAAGCTGCCATATCACTACCATCGACTGTGTCTGGCACAGATGGCAAAAGCATGCTGACAACTAGTAGTAGTATCACTTCTGCGAACTCAGCACCTGCTCCTGACGTAGATCTCTTCACTATACCTTATATACGTGTCACAAAACTCCAGATGCCAAGTCAGGCTTCAACACTTACTTCAGAAATAGAATGACTAGAACTGTCTGTAGAAGAGCTGAAGATGTGGGCGATTAAGTGTAGTGAGACTACGAATGCAGGATGTTCGGAAAATTTAGCCAGCATATTTGATTTATCAGTATGGATTTGTGACATAAGATCCCAGGTCTGTGAGCTTACACCTCTGAGCACCCTGACCATAAACATGAACCCTGGTGAGCTCGACAAAGAATAGGTAACCAAGATAGACAACCTCACAAACTTCAACACAACAGAGGTCATCAAAAGACTGAATACATAACTGAGTGTAAGCGTCTAAAATAAATCA